GAAGTTAGAGCGGCGGGCGACGGCAAGCGTACCACTGATCTTGGCGGTATGCTGCTGCGTGTCGGCGTTGATGCTGGCGAGCTCACTGGTGTCGGGATCGACATAATAGAAGAGACTGGAAGGCTCGATGCTATATGAAGCCGCACCGGAGCCAGTGAAGTTGTAGGCAGCGCCCACTAAGGAGTGATTATTACTTAGTACTTATTATCCTTTAAAGTTACGAAAAAAACGCACAAGCATGGTTGACGGTGATAGATTCACCAGGTGCGAGGACCGTAAAGGAAGAATCCGCGTTCTTCTTCACGACGTAGTCAGGATCGTACTTGACCTTGACACCAGTGAAAGCGGGGGATCCATTATCGCTGCTGATGTCGAAAGTGTGGGTGGCAAATTTCGACGACAAGATACTGGAAGGGTCATTAAGGATCTTCATTGTCGTGTCACCGGTGTTAGTGAGAGTTGCGGCCACATTGAGATTCTCGACATCAACCACAGAATCAGCACCTACGATGGTCGTCAGGACAATCTGTTGTGCAAACGCTGATAGAAAGCAATACCGGAAAGTGAGAGGGAAAGTCCCGGGGCGGCGGATACAGCGACCGCGGAGAGGCAGAGGGAGTACAAGAAGGAGCGAACGGAGAGGGAGAACATGGCTACAATCGACAACCTAGTAGACCGGTGATAAACGCTTGCTTCGTTTTTTTCCGACTTTTATACGCGCAGGTTGACCAGCACACCGAGATAAGATCAAAGCAGTTTCATATCGCGACGCGAGCACCATATTGCTTGTGGCTTCTTTTGACCATCAGTAGGGTCCTGCACATGTGTATTATTACACCGAGAACGGACACCATGCAGGCAGAAGTGCAGGATTTGTATGCTTGATGATCCACAATCAAGGCCCGCGTTGGCTGTCTACTACCGGTCTGAAGCACAATCCGTAGCAAGATGACCACACCCAATCAGTTTCGCCGATTATGGGGTCGTTGCATAGGCAACATAGGGCTATTGTGTCGTCTAGAGTCGGCCAAGCCGCTGTGGAAGCCAGAAGCAGCGAATGCAGAGAAGACTATCCCGGAAATGTGAAGGGGCTGTAGAAAGAACTGCCTGGCCGGCGCAAAATCCCCGGATTAGACGTTCGAAGAGAACACACGCTATTGCATCGCGCCATTCGTGCATGAGTACATGACCGTTGACAAGGACATGCGTTAGGATCTCGACCGACTCGTGATATGCAGAACACGCATTGATAAAGCACTGAAGCAAGTGGTAAGGTCCGATAGCCATACGCACACATGGTAGAAAATATGAGCCACCAATTGCAATGGCAATGTCTGCCAGAACAGATAGCGATGTCCTTTGTTACGATCATGCCAAGGAGGTGCCAAGTGATTACTAAAATTCACACGTGCGCCTATTTCAAAATTACAACTTTGACTTTTAACGGTCAGCACGGATCGTTTGTTACGCCTTCGACCCGACTGTATTCCTTAAATGTGGACGAGACAGCCTCCATCAAAGACAGCGGCGGCCTCTTCTATTTCAAGCTCTGTTGTGTACTCTGAGCTGTCAGTCTTGCCAAACTAGCTGATTTCAGAGGCTGTTGGTATCATGTACTAGTCTAGTCTCTTTCCAGCTGTCTGTTGACGCAAGATTAGTCTGCGACACCTCGGAAACTGTTTTAATCGAATCCAGCTCTATGAATGTACAGCTACCTCGTTAAACCACGCTAGAGGTGCCAAAAGGTTTTCTACACGCTTCCGAGTCCAGGTTTCTCAACTAATGTTCTTCACAGAGTAAATCCCGAGAAAATGCTGCCGAGAATTCATGCATTAGAAACAAGATTGAGTCTATAACCCAGCGTTTGACTTCTTTGTCGTGACAACGTCTGAAAACATATATTCAACGGCCTACAACTCGTCAAAATCAACTTCGTTTGGCACACAGTTGCAGCTTCGGTGCATCCTTGTTCTTCGCTTACTTTGGACCATACTGCGAGGTTTAAAGCCATCGATGCTCAAATTTCGCAAAGTACAGCCTACCTCGTCGCCGAGCGTTTAAATCCATCGAGTTCTCACATATCCCACCCACCCATACGACTCGCTCTGACATCTGGTTCCGCTACAGAACCGGGAGTTCTCTTCGTCGATGCGCGAACCAATGTACGTAGACCTTATCCCTTCACTGCGACCCGAAGCACGGGATGCCTCCGAGTCTGGTTTACCTACTGCCGAGTTTCCCCCGTCTACGCGAGGTTCCAGCCATGTTGCTACAAGTCATGATGTTCGCATACGGAGGAATTGCTATTATGTAGCATTTATCCTCTCTCCGAGGCACAGACATTATCCCATTTCGTTAGGGACTGGGCTCAAGCCCGGTTTTTAAACCCCAAGCTTCCCGACGAAATCAACGTACAGAAACACGTCCGAGTCCAAGAACTTGATTTCGAATCTCGTCGCTACGACTTTCACTGGGATGTCAACCTCGCTGAAAATGGAGAGACTAGGAAGATGTCCTGTACCGAGAAACTGGTTGAACTCACGTCGTACTCCGAGTCTACCTGGAGCTTTGTCTGTCCCTGTGTCAGCTTTATTGATTTGTATTCAATCTGTCCCTCAAAAACATCAAAAACGACGTATACGCTCACTTTTACGCCTCCAGAGATCCTCTTCATCGTCACTCTTCTCTTTTCTGTCCTTCAGCTCGTCACCAACGGCCTGGACGTAGGCTGATTTGAATCGTGGCATCCCGAATTGTAGCGGTGTGCTACCTAGCGCAGTACAACGACGTCTATCATACCTGAGGGCGGGAGGGCGGAGTAGTTGGGGCCGTACTCGAAGGACATGTTGAGGATGATGTAGTTGCTATGCCTGAATTGATGGTGCTTTATGCGTGGATCTAGATATACGAACAAGGGTCCAGACATCGTGAGAGTGAGGGTTCAAACGACTCTTTTCTTATATTTAGCTTTGCTCAGGCCTTGGTATTACAAAAGTGGAAACGCTTCTCCCAATACCAACGCCAAGAGTTCCCTCACAGCTTAGAAAAGATCAACAGATAGTCTCACATTCTACATCAGCAAACTGACTATAAGCCAGGTGGTACATTAAGAAAAACATGAATACATGCAAGATCAGCGCTGAAAAAGGTTACAAAGACGTCCATGTTCTACATTGAAGATTTATATCCCACCACCACCAAGGATGTATTCAATCGCCGAATGCACGTTACCTGCTGTGGCCAACAGGGCTCGAACATTCTGCGATGCATTTGTGAAACCCATATCTTGCAATTGCTATTGCATGTATGTATTAGAACGAACGAAGACAAGTTCGAGAAGCACGTACCTGCAGTTGGACCTGGAACCGCTCTTCGGGCGATCTCGTGTCCGCCGGCGCTGTGGGTGCAGCACCAAATCCACCTAGTCCGCCTCCAAGTCCGCTTCCAAGTCCACCGGGTAGCCCACCGCCTAGGAGGAGCTGCCGCGTCAACGCAGGATCGAGTGCAAACGGAGGGCGTGCATTCGGAGTCGACAAACCACCGTAGGGGTTGAACAAATTTGGCGGTATCGGCGTCGTTCCCGTTCCAGGTGCTCCTGCTGCGCCCCCCGTGGCTGCTGCTGCTGCTGCTCCAGTAGCGGGTGGTGCACCACCACCTGGCACGCCTGGGGCAGGGAAACTACTTGCACCTCCACCCATTCCAAATCCGCCCAATCCACCCGCTCCACCGCCCTGAAGCATCGACGCCATCTGCATCATTTGTTGAAGCCGTTGGGGGTCCGAACTATCCAGTAAAAAGTCATGATCAGGAGAAAGCAAAAAGGAGCGCCGAACACACATCATCTGGCGGAATCCTTCACTCTGGAACATCTCCCTGGCCTGCGGCGCCATAGCTTGCAGCTGTGGGTTAGAAGCAATGATTTGGTCAAGCACAGCAGGGTTAGCCATCATCCCGGCCATTTGTTGAAGGAACTCGGGTGAGTTCATCATCGTTTGGAGCTAATTCATTAATCACTGGGTGAAAACAAAATACAGCTACACACCATATTGGGGTCGTTCTGGTTTAGGCCCATGTCAGCGAAGGGGTTGATACCCGCCATGGCGCCATATCCAAGGTGGCTGTTGAGCAGCGTAAGTGGATCGTGGGGGTTTTGACCCGTTTGCATGGTGGGAAGGGGCTGCGGGGTCGTCGCTGACGAAGACGCATTCCCCCGCGCCACTCCTTTCACCATGTGAATCGTGTGCCCAGAGCTGATTTTGTACGTGGAAAGAACATCCTCGTCCTGGAGGACAGTCAGCATAGACAATTTTGCGACAGAAGAGCCTTGACACCACCTTCAAGACACGTCCTAGCGCCCATTTGGTCAGCTAGCTGAAGTGTGAGAAAAATCGAGGGAAATACCAGAATAAATGAGCCTCTGCCGCTCCGCCTCTACGTCAGATTTCTCAGCGACTGCTTGCTTCAGCTCGAGAACCGTTTTATCTGTCGCGATCGTTATCTGGAGCTTGATTTCGCCCGGTCCTAGTGCACAATGCGAATCAGTGCCATGAACATGGAGTAGAATGTGTGTATGAGAGACCTTTTACATTTATCTGAATTTCTTCTGCCATCGTGAAACAGTAGAAAAGAGGAAGAGGAAGGAATACAAGATGTAGAGCTGTTCAAAGATGACGTATAGTAAGCCAGCCAGAGGCATTAGGTAAGATATTAGGTAACCCCGCTTCAGGCGGGATTCCCTGTTAAGGATGCGCCTCCGCGTCGATTCTCGACTCGCGCGAAGTCCAATACCGTACAAGACAAACCTAGCAGTGTTAAAGTGTGAGTAACTAACTGACACCAGAGCTTGTGCCTCCGTTGAGCGACGCCCACGGCGGAGAGAAGCACATGATTGTTCTCAATAAAGTGGTAGCGCACAAAACCTAGGTTTCGTTACACTTGGGTTTATTACTAGTAAGTTACCATGCAACCCTACAACAGAGTTCTAATGCAAAAAGAAACTATGGGGGCACCCAGGATTGAACTGGGGACCTCCAGAAATGAACCAGATACATATGGAAAACTTCAGTCTGTTGCTCTCCCAACTGAGCTATGCCCCCATAGCACAACATGTTCAAATAGTACAGCTGGATATAGGCGATCAAATCAAGCTAAATTTCTAAATTTCCGACGTCTATTGCCCATGCAAGTCCCAGCCATCATCCAAAAGCTGCTCGCTCCGTTCCCTCTGTACACGTATCCTCCCATCCCTCCTCCGTCCCAAACCAAGACACACCCAACCCCCTGTCTATGGATCCATCCTCCACACTCACCCGACGGCGTCCTCAGCTCCGACGTCGAGTGCCTCAAATGGCAAGCCTACCTTGCCCTGCGTGGCCTTGACCACATTGCCGTGCGTACCGACGTCGACCCCCAGGGCTCTATCGACGGGCAGCTTCCCAACTTATGGGACGGCGCGCAGTTGTTGGCGGCGAGAGAGCTGCCTGTTTGGGTGGACGGCAAGGTCGACATTGGCGATGACGGCGGGCTGGAAGGCTACAAAGACGAGGCGGCGCGTGACGAGAGCCGGGCGTGGGTGGCGCTGCTGGAAGGCTGCGTGCACGCTGCGCTGCTCCTCGTCCAACCGGCGCCGTCGCCGTTCTCTCTAGCCGAAACCAAGACCCGCCCCATCGAGTCCATTCTCGCCCCGCCACCGGCCCCGCTGTCCGGCCTCACGTCCCTCCTCCCGCCCTTTGGCACGCGTATTCCCCGGGAGACTGTACAGTCGCGCTACCGTGAGGCCATTGGCGCGCTCTCTGAAAGACTAGGCACTGACAAGTGGTTCTTGTCGTCCGAGTACGTTCTTTTTGCTTGAGTCGTCTGTAATCCTGACACTAGGTAGGGCCCCAACACCACTCGACGCGCTTGTCTTCGCGTACCTCCACTGTATACTGCACTCCAAAGACACGATACGCATCGAGGTGACGCGCAGGGTGAATCTGGTTGCCTGGGAGTGGAGGGTGAGAGGATTAGTTAGGGCGGCGTTTCTACCGAGGCGGTGATTCATGTCAAGGTTTTTTCCTACGTGTGTGTTCAATACCTCATCACCTCCAACGCAGTGTATAAAAATGTTAATCCCGGTGCGAGAAGCACCCCAAGCTGTAAGCACAAGGCCAAGTACTTGGCTTTGAGCTCAGACTTTCCTGCGCTGTAAAGAGAGAAATGACTGGGATTCTGGAGAACGGCTCGGAACCACTGGATACGGATTCTGCCTTGCAGTCACCAATGAGTTCGACACTTCTCTTCAATACGGACCCTAGAATGGCATATGTTTTCGCCGGCCCCTTGTCTTTGAAAACCACTCCAACTTCCTCTAAACTTTCGTCTTTACCGACGTGGTCCACTGCGTATTATGCAAGACGGTGTTATCGTTAACCTGCAATGCCGCGTTCTCGCGATTCTCAACCACCTTTGGCTTTTCCTTCCCGCTGCTTATCGTTATGATGGCATTCTCAAATGCCCTGCCTGTCTTGCGTAGCAGCGCGCCGCCCCAGAGGTGTAGATATCAGTCGCGATGTTGAGCGCAAGGTTCGATAAAATGACGCGGTTTCCCCGACTTCTAGTTCGCAATGTGTAATACATTATCCGCAATTAGTGAGATAGTGAACGCTTCACCTCCGTTCAATCGTTGTTGAGTGTGTCCATTCACTTCACCTGCTCGCAATGAGTAGGAGCCTAATTTCAACGTCGTGGATCGCTCCTCCCGATCTTGTAGCACAAGTCTTCCACGCCGATTCTTATAAGAAGGTCGCCGAACCTCCGGTGAGAAGACTTGGGCGTATGTCCTATCCTGCTGTGTCGCCGTTGATGGATCCAGGAGTACGGATCTGCAAATAGACGTTTTAGACGATATCGAAACCATTGTAGAAAGGGCGAATACTTATTCTCGTTCGCAAAGAAGGCTCATGGTGTTACGAGGTTGCTACTCAATAAATCTATCCCAGTTCTGCATGCCTCCTGCACCTGGTACTTCTATAGCTATCGGGGTCCCATCTGCAGCGAGAATACTCGTTCGCGCAGGTCCTCTTCCTCCCGAGAAAGATCTTTCGTGCCATTGACAACGCCCGAAACACAGGCGATGCGACACCAGGCAGAATCGCTTGATAAAGTGGTGAGCTATAGGCATTTCGTATGGACCAGCTGGTACTTTCAGTCGGAGAAGGAGAATAGCCTCTAATGGTTGGATGGAAGAGGTATCAGCCTTTCTGGTGAAGTCAAGTAGGCTGGATATAAAAGCAATGTGTCCATATAGACGAATAAAGAACCGGATGTATAGTACCAGCATAGAGCTAACAGGGAGTCGTTCGTAGCGTGTTCATTAATGGATTTTGATCAAACTTCGAACGCGTCGATCACGGTGCTCGATCACGGGGACTTCGATCACGGGGACTTCGATCACGGTACATCATGACCGTGTTGGTTGATGGTGCTCATCTCTCTGACCACCACTAGCTGAGACTGCTCCTTCTCCTGTACACACTATTTACCCCCTCCCAATACAATGCCTGAGCGATTTATCTGCCAATGCTTCTATGATGACATCGTGTCTCCCACTCTCCATAGCCTTCTTGACAGACATGATCCATATTTTGAGCCGGCTCCAACGAAGTTGGCAGCATGGCCGTCTTGTGTTCGTCCTACCGTGGAAGATAATGATGACGAGGGGTCTACCTTCCAGGTGAGCGGTGTATTTAATCTTCTATTCACCACATACTAACTTGCACATCAATTCAGGATGAACCCCCGCTTCTGAATTTCTCACTTTCACAATCTGCCATTGAACTCCCATCCGGCACCGTTCATGTACCTATATCTTCAACTCTGTCTTCTGTACCTGAACGTATATCCGAGTCTACTGCTGCCACACCTAACATTACCGCCTCGGACTCTGAGTCTCCTTTACTGCGATGCCCAGCTGCAGAAGTTGGCACCGTTCTCTATACCTCCAGCCAGCTGTGCTCTCTCAACCAAGGAAACGAACTTATCCTGTTCGTTCAGAACAATGCTCAGAAGCCATCTGTGAGTGCTTTCTCGTTCGCATCTGGTCATCCCGTCAACGTCCCTGCAGACTCGGCCGACCGATAGAGCAAAGTCACATTCCTGTGTTAAGAAAAAGGTGAAGGGCAAGAAGCGTGCCCGAGATACTTCAGAAACCGGAGAAGACAACGGTAACGGTAGGCGCCAGACAAAGCGGAAGAAAGGGAAGGCTTCGACTCATGGCGCGGGGAACAGTGGTGTGCTGCCACAGACCCAGAACGGCCATGTCACCGACAAAACATCGCGGGATAGTGATGGGACTAGAAGTCTGCAACGGCGAGTCCTGGAGGATATCACAAACAAGGTTTTGCATGCTGTGACCTGAGGCCTGAGGATGCAAACAATTGACCCGGAGTTATGCAGTCGCCTAGTCGATTACTTACCGGGTCGTACTTGGAGATCATAGCACTACTACCTTTTGCGTGATCTCACATTGCTGTAAAACGGGGGATCAGTTCGTTCCCATTAAGTACACGCGCGGTGTCGCGCCGCTTGGCAGAGCTCTACAAACCCATCAAGATGCACACTAGAATGTTCTACTCTCTCCTACTTCCTCTTCCTATTGGGCATGATGCCGGATTGCCATATTACAACACACAGACCTCGCGAACGAGCCTTTAATCGACCTTTACTCAACAAAAATCTTACCGATTTACTTTCCTCCGCTTCTCCAAGTAAACATTTCCTTGCATTGCATCACCAGCCGAGCTCATCGCAGAAGACTGTGACACCACTAGTCACTAGTAGCACTCGTTCGTAATGGCGAACAAAAATCGGTCCGACGCCCTTGTCCATGAACAAATAGCGTCGGTCAAACAAAATTAGGTATTTACAAGATAAATATATAGTACATAAGAAGCATAAACAAATCAAAATTCAAAACATGTAGATAAAAAAAAGTCCCAAAAGAGTGAAAAACGAACGAATGTAAAATTAAGATGCTAGGATTGGTGAACTACAGTTAGATCCAATGAAATGAAATAATGGTATGCGAAAAATGTGAAGAGATATATGGTCCATTGTAGCCCCAGAGAATGTGATAGAGGAGAAATAAATTAAGATGCAATGGATAAAAATGTTCATCTCAGTCCAAGTTCAGACGCACCAGCCAGGTCAATAAACCTCGTCACCCGCCTCATAGATTTTATCGCCGCGTAATCATCCACGTCGTCCGCGCGTCTCGCGTGTCGCTCGCACAGCATCCTCCCATCCACTTCCCAGTACTCCTCCAGCTTGTCGTGACATCCTGGATGTTCGCATAAAAGATGTTCAGGATGGTATCGGTCTCCCGCATGCGAGACCGCACACGGTCCCTCGATTGGCTGGCCGCACATAGCAGCAGCGCATAAGGATTCGTTGGCTTCATGATAGTGATAAGCGCATAATGGTCGGCCGTCAAATACGTAGAACGTTTTGTCGGGAAAAGATTTCTGAGGACAAGGATGAATTATATCAACGCCGCGATGCAGATGCGCAAGAAACGTACGTGGCATATATGGCAATTAAAACAGTCTTTGTGATATTTTCCTTTCAGTTGACCGTCAGAAGACGATACTGCTTGTTTTTCTATAGGTAAATTACAACGCCGACACTGGAGACAGACCAACATCAGCTCTTCGTTCATCAAGAGAGAGAAACACTCACTTTGGGTAAATACATATTCTTCCAACACTTCTCGCAAAGTACACCCCCGGTATCAATCTGTATCCACCTCCCGTCCTCGATCTTCATATCACAGCGCACACAAATGCGAACCTTCTTCGCCGGTCGCTCTATACCACGCAGCGCTTCCTTCCCTTTCCTCACCCTCTCCAAATCTGACGAGCGCTCTTTCTCCGTCCTCGCACGCGCCGGCAGCTTCACAGGTTTATTCTCTGGACTGCTCGTAACCTGCATTGTATTACTCCGGTAGGGTATCGGCACAGCGGAAGTCCTCGTATCACTGCTATCCTCTTTCTTAAAATACGATTGCTTGCCTGTAGACTTGCTCTTGGACAACGACGATCGCGCGTCATCCAATGCA